TGATTTGCATAACAAGCTCTCAGCAAGGGGATAAGAAAGGCCTGAGGGAAGGCCAGAGGAACCTGAGCCTCATACACAGGAGAGCTTCAGCCTGGATGCCCTCCACCATGGCCTGGCACTCCCTCCTCTTCAGCTTCCTTGCCTACTGCACAAGTACTGCTCCAGGGCTCCCAACCAGCTGCACAGCCCAGGGCTCTGGGACTAGCCTGGCTCTGACTCTGAGCTCAGCAGGGCGCTGGGGGTGGGGCAGGATGCTCAGGAACCTGACACAGGATGGGGCTGTGGGGCTGAGATCCCCACTCTGTGCTCACTGCTTTGTGTGAGCCTGAAGGGCTGTAGCTGCCCAGAGAGATGGCGGGTCTGCTGTTGGGATTAAAGTTTTTGTCTTGTACTGAGGCCCATGGGCCACTGAAACTGAGACTGAAGTGAGGGCACCTTGTTGGCCCAGAGGATTGATCTCCTCCAGGGCAGGGAGGAGCAAAGTCTTGGAGAGATCTCCATCCTCCTCAGTCCCACCTCTCTTCTCTCTCCCCACAGGCTCTGTGGCCTCCTATGTGCTGACGCAGCCATCCTCAGTGTCAATGACTCTGGAACAGACAGCCAGGATGACCTGTTTGGGCAACAACATTGGAAATAAAGATGTGCAGTGGTACCAGCAGAAGCCAGGTCAGGCCCCCATCCTGGTCATCTATTATGATAACGGCAGGCCCTCCGGGATTCCTGACCGGTTCTCTGGTGCCAACTCTGGAAACACGGCCACTCTGACCATCACTGGTGCCCAGGCTGAGGACGACGCTGACTATTACTGTCAGGTGTTGGATGATAGTAGTAAAGTTCACAATGACACAGGCAAATGGGGAAGCAAGATAAAAACTCGCCACCAGCCTGGTGCCCACGGCCCCTCCCTGCCCTAGTCACAGCGACCTGAGAAACCCACCACAGAGAAAGGACTGTCTAGGCCCACACATGCTGTCACATCCCTGAGAGATGGGAGAAGTTTCCTGGACCGCTGCAGGCTCATTTGCCTTCACTGTAACCTCAGCAATATGTGTTTGTTGAATAGAACTGGCAGCTCCCAACACCACAGAAAACCAGTTCATCTTACAGCACTAAGTGATGGAGACTGCCCTGAAGGAGCTCTGAGCAGGATTTAAAACTAACAACTTGGCCTTTCATGTTTACTTGGGAGTCACTGGTCCTTACTGAGGCCTGTAATGGTGGGTGAAGCCATGAGGCCTCAAAGGACAAGACAAGGCCACAGCAGAGGACTTTTGGGTCCAACCCCAATTACCTAAAAGGAGACTATAGCTGCAGGCTTCTCACTCCTGTGGTGAAGGCCTTCCTGGGGACAACACAGTTATCCTAAATTAACATAATGCATTACCTGGAGAAATCCAAAAGGGATTCCCAAATCCTGCCCAGATTCCTGCATTTTCCCTCAGTATTGCCCTCCTTTGAAAACCTAATAAATGCAGCCCCCCAGAGAAGTCTTTGTCTTAACACAGAGAATCTTGAATTCTCTGAGAGGGTTGAACCCTTCTGGAGCCCAAAAATCATTTCAAGTGTCACATTTATTTCAGCCTTCCCACCCACTCCTTGGGAGACTGCTGGCCTGATCAGCTCACAATAACTAAGGATATTATAAACAAGATAACTAAGTCTCCCTGTTAAGCAGAATTTTACCGTGACAGGGTTGTGGATGTGGCAGCAGGAGCATCCGTGAGGGTTCTAGTGTTGGAGGACTGCACCTGAGTGGTTTAACCCTGTCTGTTAAGAAAGGAACTGATTGGAATGGGGAGCCCACTTGTGACGGGGGTGGGGTGGACATACCGGGTCAGAGGTCTTGCTTGGGGTCTTGACTAGGGAACTGTTGTTATTTAATAGGTTACTGCTTTAGCCAGGTGAGAATTTTGTGCTCAGAGGACCCAACTGTTGACCTAGACAGTAGATTTTCAGGAATGTTCTCAAACAAAGGGGACTTAGTTACTAGTTATACTGTCATATTACTGGCATGAGAATCCTGGGAAAAATAATGAATCTTTTCCTTCCTTCCTTGGCACTAACAACATTCATTACAGGATGGCAGTGACTGTTAAAGAAGCAGTGTGTGAAATTTTCAGAGTGAAGCAGAGACAAACCCTTCATGTGTGGGGCAGAGAAGTGCCAGGTCAGCAGGCGCAGTCTCACAGGACTCATGCCTCCTGGGACAGAAATGACTGTGCATTTATGCAAAAGATTGAACCTAGAACCCTATCTCTTACCATGCGACCACCTAAAATCAAAATGGATCAAAGATATAAATATAAAAACAGAAAAATTAAATCTACTGGAAGATAGAATGGGTAAAACTCTTGAAAACATACATGTAGGCGAAAACCATGAATAAAAGTTTGACTGCACAAGAAATATTTTGTAATAGGGTCGCACAAAATTAAAAGGTTCCTTCATAGCAGCAGAAATAACCAACAGAGTATAGAAGCAACCTACAAAATGGGAAAAAATATTGGCCAGCTATTCCTCAGACAGGGGACTAATATTTAGAATATATAAAGAATGCAAAAAATAAATTAGACTCCCAAATTCAAAGACCCAATCTAAAATATGGGCTTCCAAAAGAACAAATATTTCTCATATAAAGAAGTATAAACAGCAAATAAATACATGAAATGCTCAATATCACTGACCATTGAAAACATGAAACTTAAACAACACTGAGATTCCATCTCACTCCAGAAAGAATGGCTTCCCCCAGAAAATCAACCAATAACAAAAGCCAGTGAGGCTGTGGGAAAAAGAGAACCATTCTCCATTGTTGGTGACAGTGTAAATTGGTACAACCACAATAGAAAACATTATGGAGATTTCTCAAAAAACTAAGACTAGGGGTTCCATTTGACCCAGCTATTCCCCTTCTAGGTATCCTCCAAAAGAATTAAAGTCATATTACAGTGATATCCATGCTTATAGCAGCACAATTTCTATAGATAAATCTTGGAAATAGCCCAGATGCTAATTAACAGAACAATGGATAAAGATAATATGTTATTTATATACAGTGGAGTACTACTCTGTTCTAAAGAAGGATAAACTTGAGACATTTTTAGTAAATGGATGCACCTTGAGACCATAATCCAATAGCTCAAACACACAAGTTTAAATATCACATTGTTTCTCTCTTTTTTTTTATTTTAAAGATAAAAGGGGGGAAACATTAACAGACATACAACATTTTACAACATATCACAAGCACAGTACAGACAATACAGAGTTACAAACAAAGTGGTAGGGAATTAACAATGGTTGTTGTATTACATACTGATATCTTCAAAGTGGCTTCTCATGAAAACAGTGTGAGACACTGAAGTTATAAATAATGTACAGAATGGAGGATAGATATTAAGAAGTACGAAAAACTTGTTCAAATGGGAGGGGGAACAGAGACAAGGGAGAGTGAAGGAAAGGAAAATAGATATAAAGGAAAAGGAGGGGAGGGGAAAGGAACAACAACAAAAAGAATTAAGCTGTGTTACATCTATGTACTGATCTCCATTGATGAATGTCATCATTATGTACTGTGAACATGTACTACTAAACAAAATTGAAACTATAAAAAACAGCATTGATAGCCTGAAAGCATTTAGCAATATTCCCTAACCATTATCCAAAAAGAAGACGCACATTGAGAAAATGCAACTGATGCAGTATTTAAAAAAGAGAGAGAGAGAAAGAGAAGAGGTGCTTGTGTGAGCACCCCCGCGAGGGTGCGGGCGGGCATGGATGCAGGATGAGCTGCTCCAGGTCCCTGGCTGCCTAAGCTGAGCTGAGGGCTGAAAGGATGGGAGCCTGGCCTTCCCTGCTCAGCTCCTTCTCAGCACCATCCCAGGCTTTCCCTTCCCTCTGCAGGGCTCCCCTTCTCTCCCCTCACCCCACTGCCTTTGTCCCCTCTCCCCTCTCCCCTTCTTCTGTGCCTACCTCCAAGGCCTCCCCTCTGCACACCCAGACTCCTCTCTGCTCCAAGCCAGGTCTTGCAGAGGAGGCCAGATCCAGAGACACTGCTGAAAGCCTCTGTTCCCACCCAGGTACTGGATGCCACTTGGACAGAACAGCAAACCACCCCTGAGGGCTTCAGACTCCTCTACAGTCAGGCAGGCATCCGAGGACTGGCCTGAGAACCGTGGAGACCCTCTCCCTTACCCTGGAGATGGCCTGCAGGGACTCCTAGGAGGCCTCAGGATTACCCAGTTTTAATATGGATCCCTGAGTTCATTTTGGATGCCTTCTGCTGGCCACACTGACTCCACCTTCCCAGACGTCCTCTGAGAGTAAAAGTCCTGCCCCTGTACTCATGGGAACTTGACAGTTAATCGGCAAAATTAAAACTTGGGCACCACTTTTAACACTGAGAAATGAGTTTCATTCGCTCATTTATGCTAGTAAGAATGTAAATTTCAGCCCAGCATGGTGGTGCATGTCTATCATCCCAGCACTTAGAAGGCTGAGGCAGGAGGATTGCCGTGAGTTCGAGGCCAGCCTGGGCTACAAACTGAGTTCAAGACAAGCCTGAACTGCATAGCAAATATCATCTCAAGATGACCAAAAGAAGAAGAAAAAAAAGAAAGAAAAGAAATGACAGGGACCGCTCCCCCCACCATCATGGTTCGCCGCTGCGCCCTGTAAGAAACAGGTTTGCTCTGCGGACTGCCTGGGGACCCCCATATGGTGGTTGTAGTTTTCCTGTATTCTCCAATTCCATGCAGATCTGGAACCTTCTCAGCTTCTATTCCACCGTCCTTACCATCTTAGCCTTGCTTTTTGGTTGACTTAAGATAACAAGATAACAGGATACATATGCAGTTCCAATCATCACAGCACATCCATGAGAAAAACTGCTACAAAAATCAGAGTGCTCCTTCCCTCCACAGGCATAAGTTCCCTGAGAAAAAAATCTAGCAGATAAGAGTGTTGTATCCACGGACCTGCACTAGGTCCTGGTTCCTTGGGACCTGGGAAATGTTTCTGGCTTATAACAAATAGAAATAACAATGTACAGGTACAAGCCATTGAGAAAAGTCTGCTGACATGGAAAATGGTGTCTCAAGCATGGCCCTACCCACAAGATGAAAACCTGAGAGCGGGGCCGTGCCCTGGTCATGCTCAGTTTCCAGGAAGGAATGTAGAGCAGACCTCTGTGATCTGAGTAAATATTGGGCAGGGTGGTCTCCTTTCTGTGTCATTGGTACCATAGCCACCAAACACCCTCACATGCATTTACATCTGCCTTTGGAACCAGTCCCTGAGTCCTGTGTCTCCCAGTACAAACTTCTGGGACAACTTCCAACACCACCCTCCACGTCAGACAAAGGTACAGACACGCCTCAGGTAGGCCCTGACCTCTCCTCCTCCAGATAGATGTGTTCATACTTTTCTGAGGAATCTTAGGTCCTCCTGCCTGGTTGTAGGTCAGGCAGAGGGCACAGAGAGAAGGGAAATTCCTCACCCTGGGGGAAAGCAGGCTAAGAAGTAAGAAATCCTGTGTTTGAGCAGAAAGTACCCTGGCCTCCAAGACGCAGATGTCAATGACCACCAGGAGGCAGCAGAGAGTCACCGGCAAAGGTGCTTGGGATAGGCTGGGCCTCGGCTTGAAAGAATTTCTAAACTGAAGAGAGAAATTCTAAGCTGAAGGGTTACTTGACTATGCCCTGAGAGTTGGAGAAAATGGTGTCAACATTCTCCTTGGCACATACAGATTCTGTGATT